TTGATACATAGAAGGGTGGAATGGAATGGCAGCATTTACTGGTCCTTTGCCTTCTCCCCCAGGGACCACATTTGGGGCATTTCCTGACACTGGTCTGAGTAAAGCCTGCGCACTGTGCTGAGCCACAAGAACCACCTGAAAAGGAGGCAGCAACCCCATCATCCTCCTCTACAGATTTTCCTGGGTCCCCTTTCTCCCCTCTCCCTGCCTCCTGGCCTCCACTCAACATATCTTGCATCTTCTGAGGGAGGCTTGTGGTCCTTGTCGAGGAGTATCAACTGAACAGGTGAACGAGGCTGACGGTGGAATGCTGGGCACTGAGCCTTGTGGCACCGTCTTCTCAAAAGAGAACCGTTAACTGCTTTTAAATACAGGTGTCAGTTATCATCACATCACCCAGATAAAAACCGTGATATTTATTGCTGTCTAAATGTATGAAGAGCTGAGCCTGACTGAAGTCTGTCCCACCAGAGGCAGAGACCAGGAAGACCCAGGGCATTTATGGAACAGCTATCACATATCATGCTGCTGCGTGCACAGCTCCTGAGTCCCTGTGCGTATGGGGGCAGGGGGTTGTCTTGTTTCTGTTCCAGTCAGTTCTTCTTACTGAAACCAGGAAGTGTTTCCTAACATATAAACGGCGTTGTGTTGCTCCTCTGCTTGAAGTCCCCCAGTGGCTTCCGTGGCTCCAGGCTCTACAGGGAGGTCCCAGAATATAATAGGTAAGAGCATGGCCTCTGGAGCCCACGACACTGAGGATGTTCCCTAATCTCTCTGTGCCTCAGTTTCCTCTCCTATAACTAGGGCAACAATAAAAAGGCTTGTCCTGAGGGTCATGTGAGTTAATTCCGAGTGGGGCATGGCACACAGTGATTCTGGAGGAGCGTGGACTTCTGTTATTAGCAGCGATGGCAGCACAAGGCCCATTCCTTTCTGCTCGCACTCTGTGCTCTGCTCACACCCAGCTTTTCGAAGTTCAAGCACGCCACGCTCTCCTCTCTGAACTTCAAACATTCCTGGCACGCGCTTCCCCGCGATGTGACCGAGTAGCTTCTGCCCACGCTGGGGGTCAGCTCTTTGCTGAGGGCCCTTTCTGATCCCCTTGTCAGGGTCAGGGGTCCACTCCTAGGTGCTCCCAAACCCACCACACGGTGGACGACCTTCTTGTCCCCCTACTAGACTGCTCCTCTCCGCACTCGGGAAGTTCACTGGCAATCTCGTCAGCTGTCTAGTCAAGGCAACAGTCCCAAGATGGGACAAGGAAATGATGGAGGCGAGGCGGCCTGACCCCCACCAGGAGTGCACTTCACAGTCGCGACGACGTGGGGTAGCTCAGTTTCGTCTCCTCTGTCCACGGAGAGGACGTGTGTGGGCCCTCTTTATCTTTATAGTAATTATACCGTTTTCTGCCATGTCGCTTTCTTTAGTGTATAAACATGTAAATTCGATGACACAGAACTTTATTAGGAACCACAGGTCTCTGGTGGGCCCATGAGGACCAGTGAGGCTGGGCCTTCACACACAAAGAACACACATGTCCACATGTCCATGTCTGTGGAGTTGGCGAGCCCAGACCACAGGAGATGCTTGGTCCTAATTATCACACAGCTGCCAGTGACTCACATCCCCCCATGTGTGTATATATATATATTTTTTGCGGTGCGCGGGCCTCTCACTGTTGTGGCCTCTCCCGTTGCGGAGGACAGGCTCCGGACGCGCAGGCTCAGCGGCCATGGCTCACGGGCCCAGCCGCTCCGCGGCACGTGGGATCTTCCCGGACCGGGGCACGAACCCGTGTCCCCTGCATCGGCAGGCGGACTCTCAACCGCTGCGCCACCAGGGAAGCCCCCCCCATATTTTTGTCACACGCTAAAGAGGTTCTGACGGAGACCCAGACTTCCGTCTGCTTTTCCTTGGCCTGGCTGTGCTGTAGGCAGTGGGGAGCGAGCACAGTGCCTCCCCAGGGCCAGTTACCTTCTCGAGGTCTGGTTCCTCTAAGCCCAGTGCTAACTCGTTGTTGTCCATCACAGAGGAAGCAGCCACGTCCAGCGGGGTGGATCCTCTCATGGACGGGGAGGCTGAGGAAGGAGAGAAGGAGAAAGAAAGGGAGAAAGAGGCCATCTAGCACTGAGCTGAGGTTGCAGTGCACAGTAATGGCCAGGAGAGGGCAGCAAACACAAAACCTGGGTCACATCGCTGTCCTCTGAGGGGGGCTGCCCACTCAATTTAAGAACAGCTCTATTTGCTATCTTTCCTCCCCACACTCATTACTGATTGTGAATATAGCTTCAGTTAGAAAATCAGTTCATAGGATCAGCTGGGACCACGTATTTTCAAGTGCTTTTCTAACATGGAAGTTCTTGGGCCCCCCATTTGGTGATCGTTCAAAAGTCTCAGATGTCACTTGATCAACTAAGCTCACATAACTTGGCCATTTCTGGGGTCACCACCTAGAGTTTAAAAATAGCCTCAAACAGCATTAGCTCTTACAGTTAAATCAGGTCACCAACGTTGTCGTTCGTTTCCTTTGTTTGGTTCTTAGGCTAGAACTGAGAAAAACTTCAGGTGGCATTTTATAAAAAGGTGCGCAACCAGTGTATGGTTGCATTTGATAAACAGGAAAACTGAGATTTCAGATTTCACGTGCACGTCATGTGTGTATTTGAGTCTTCCTCAAATTCATTTGGTTTACATCCACAACAGTGAGTGAGGCATGTGCATGTGTTGGGTTTTCTAGCAGTGGTGATGGATTTACACTCATAGTTGCTCCTGGCCCGTCTGCCTTGCAGCTACGAAAGCACTGGCTGGTCGGCTGATGGGACAGGCATGCAGCCCAAGAGGGGACTGGATCCATGACCTTGGTCTCGTTAGCACTGCTCCCTGGCCAGTTGAATGGGCTGGGAGGCGCTGTATCTCCAGACTACATCCACAGTCTCAGGCAGCATTTCATATACCATGAGCCACTGGTCTCCAGAGAGAGCAGCCAAACTGTGACTATGCTGAGACAAATCTGTCACCAGCGCTGGTCGGCAGCGACTCCTCTACTTAGGTTGGAGAGCAGAGACATGGTATTATTATCATCTCACCTGTTTTTAGATCAGGCAGGGTTCCTTCTTATATTTAAAAATACCACAGCATGCAGGTGACTTTTTTCCCTTTATTGCCTAAGTGGTCAGCAGGGGGAGGGTAACCTCTGAGCCAACAGCAGACGTTATAATGTGACCTACCTAGGCCAACACTGCTATTCTCCAGCAGGTAACTGAGATGCTCAAACATGGCCTTCTGATTTTGTCGGCTAATTCGACAGAAATAGCACAGGAAGCGGCAACAGCTAGCAACCATCTTTGGAAAGGCAATCTGTAGGGAA